TGGTAAATAATAAGTTTTTTATTGAAAATTTTCTAAAATTATTTATGAACAAGAAAATTTAAATAAACATGATTTTTCTGGATATTAATACATATCAAATTATTTTGTATCTCAGATTACTTTTGGTTTTAATTTTCCAATTGTTTTTATGATTGTGATTTAGGATCAACCATGACTAATGAATAGAAATCAAAGGCCTGAAACTCCAGCAATTATAGGTTATCCCCCCTATCCACCTTTTTTTTCTTTAAATCATTGCTAAATTTTGTAAAAATGCCTAGAAAATCTGCTAATAGACTAGTGTCAGCCAAGTGTTAATGGGCAAAGAAATCTTAAATGAAGTGTGGACACTAAGCTCCTTGACTTAAGCAATTGATGAATTGTGTTCTTCAGAGTGGTTGGCAAAACATTGGCGAATTGCCAAAGAATTCAAACTTTATAAAATGGTATATAAAGATTTCTTTATAATTGGTAAATGATGAACATTATTTGGTTTGCATTTTTAGGATGTTGTTAATAAACAACATAATAGTGTTTAATATTCTTGTTGTAAATTCTCAAGAACAAAGAAAATGGATAAATTCACTTTCATATGTTTCGGTCTTATTAAAATTCTGATCATTGCTTTTTAAAATTCTTTAACCCTTCCATCTAATTTGTAAAAACTATTTTACCCAGTTCTTTTTTCACAATTCCAATATTCCTTAGACATTCACTTGTGATTTTCTTAAAGTGTGCCTTTCTAGATTTAACTTTGTTAACAACTGGGAGTCTACTCACCCCTGCATGAGTGGATCACCATCACAAAAATATTCAAAATGACTGGATACTTTCTATAGTCTGTGGAATTGTTAGATTTCCTAATTCTTCAAACTGCCAATTTCTGATTTCCTTTGATTGCAACCTGCATTCATTCGATATTTTGGGGTTTTCTGCTTGTTGAAGGTCTCCAAAATGTGGATCAAAGATGTATTGAGGTGACGCTGGAAATGTAAATTAAGTCTACAGCCATTAATTAAAGTCTACACACAAACACACTAGAGGGTGCTGAAAAGTTCTTGGCACAACCAAGACCCCCTCCCTGCCTTCATCCCGATGTTTGTAGATCAAATTTTGGCAAGTGGGTCAGGCACACACACACACACGTGAACACTCTGAGGGTATTACTCAGCACTGAAGCACCATTGAGTGATGTTTACCCTGTGACCATTGCATTCTATCTCAATAATGCATTTGTCCATTGTTTGCATCTTGTTCATTTTTTTTTTGTAAAACATTGCATCACCCAGGTTTGTCAAAGTGGTAAATTTTAATCAAACAATCATATACATAGAGGAGGAGAGTGCAGGAGAGAAAAAAAAAAAAAACAGTAACAACTATCACTCTTAAAACTCATCATGGAATATTAAGAACTTAACAATGGATTTTAATTTTTTCTATATATAAAATAAAAACTGGAAATACAAATAAAAACTTTCATGTGTCTCAATTGTAGCTAAAGTAGAATTTTTTTTGTTTTTAAGGAATACATTTTTTTATTTCTTTTAATTTTTCAATTCATTGTGGCAAGAAGTAGTTTCTAAAACCACCAAATCAATGAAACTTAAGCATATTTACCTAAAGAAATTGACTCTTATATTCTGAGGGGTTTTGAAAAGTTCCTGGACTGACCCACTTTCCAAAATTTAACCAAATGACCAAACATCAGAAGGGGGGGGGCGTTTTGGTTGATAAAGTGTTTGTTTTATTTATTTTTAAATATCTTAAAAATTCTTTTCATATAAACAAAATCAATTTCAAACATTATATAAACAAATTAGACAGAAATAAATTTTAAAATAGGTAAGTGTGATTGTAGAAAAGATTTTGAAATTTGACAGAATTAAGAAAAAATATTTAAAATTTCCACAAAGCATTAAAATAGAAAAGACAAGTTTTTTTTTTTAATTTGTCAAGGTTAAATAATTTTTGTAATGTAGTAATAATTGATTATTAAAATTTATCCTTAAAGCACATGGAATTAATATCAAGAGGAAAAATACATTTCTTAAAATTCTTTTTATTTCTTAATTTTTTTGTTCCACATTCGAGAGTCTACAGAATCTTTTTTTTCATTTGAAATCAAAAAAGCTTTCTCACCAAAAATACTAATAAAACAACAAAATTCATTGAAATAAATAGAGAAAAAAAAATTTCATGAATTTATTCATAACCAATTTGGAACAAACAAACTGATGCAACCTTCAAAAATTTAGAATTAAAAATAATAATAAAGCCCTTTTCTGTACAATTGATTGCTCTAATTTCTCAAAGAAGAATCAGTGAGTGAAACATTTGAAAAATGGTCCTTGTGAATTTGGATGGTCCAGTGTCACTATAGAATCAGTGACTGAGGAGGGATTTGGGGTGGGGACTAAATAGCCAATCAAAACCATCCATTCAAATCTACAAGCTGTTTCAACTGAATAACAAGCCCAAAGGAGTTTGGTTATTAATTTTGATATTACCACCATTTTGGTGGCATGTGAGTTTTTTGAAAACTGACTGCAGGGATTAGGAGTGAAAGACTTGCCCAAGATCCAGATGAGATTTTTCTAGGTTAAAATTTGAACGTGTTTACTGGATGGGATATGACACTTAATGCCATTAATAATCATGTGATTAGTGGAAGAAAACAGGGATAAAGCATTTTTGCACCAGACAAAATATTGGCCAAACATTTGCATTTTCAAATTCAATTCAAAGCAAAATGAAGAAGCATATATAAAACTTGATTCACTTTTTTTTAAAAAAGTGTTTCAAAAAACCTTTCAAAAATAAAGGCATTGATGTATCTGAATTTGGCAAAATAATGTTAAATTTATGCAGCAAAGTTTGTCAATACAAATCAAAGCCTAATCAAACTCAAAAAGACAGTTTCATCGATATGAAGAATTAAAGACCATCAGATTAAGTAGGCAGCTAAAAGAAATAAAAGTTTGTATTTCATTGAAAGAAAAAAAATTGAAATAATTTTAGAGGAAAGGAGAATAGGAAGTGGGGGAAAACATCATATATTAAAAAACTGCTTATAAATATAAAGCATGAATATGGGTGGTGGATTTATAAATTTCTTTAATATGAATGAATTATATGCTTTTCTCATTCACACATTAAAACTGCCTGCCTTGCTTCAAATTTTGTTTCCAGTTCTTGGTTCATTTATGTAAAAAAAAAAAAAAAAAAAATTTTAGCTTTATTCATTTCACACATAAACATCAACAAGATATTACATCAAATTAGAATTTTACTAACAGAACAACTATTTTAAAAAAAATAGAAAAAAATCTGCAAAGGAGTAATAGAGAAAAAATTACTTAAAGAAAATTAAGTAAAAATGCTCAGATGTTTGCTAGTTTCTGAAAATGGAGTTTTTTCTCTCTTATACTGCAAAAAAATTTTTTTAAGGTTGCTGATATTTTTAATGGCTTTACTGGTTCTTAGAAATTAAAACAAAAATTGGTACAGATGAAAAATACTATAGATATTTAGTTTTTAATTTATATAATATTTAAAGAAAACTTGGTTTATTTGCTTAAACTATAGGGAAATTTGAATTTTTTTACTCATTATTTGAAACTTACACACACCTTATATATCTTGAGAGGGAGAATGAAGTTTAAAATTATGAATAAAAGGCTATAATCACTGTTTTTAACATGATTAAAGATATATACTGAAGAGGCATGACTAATTTCTAAACCTTGAAATGTATTCTGAAAAAGGAATTAGGATTTAAATGGATAAGTGTGAAATAAAGCTACCTTGCTATCTTAAATGTCTTCATAAGCCATTTTGTAATATATAGTTTAATTGACATTACAATCTTTCATGGCCTGTAATTTATTATTTGATAAATAAAAATGTTCAGTTTATTTCAAAAGACATTCGATGATTGATAAACTAGGTTTACTTGAAAATCTTTAAATTTTCACTTTTACTTAATTTATTCAGTGGAGGAATTGTGATAGCTTAGGTAGTTTTTTTTTGTTTTGCAATACAAGATATACAGGAAAAGAATAAAAGAAGTCTTAACCTTTTTCATTGATAAAATAGCTACTTGAGAGAAAAACAAAGATGAAAAAGGATTCAATGGTTATAATTTTGATGAATATTAATTCATTTGTTGGTGATTGCATGAAAGAGAAGAGCAATAAGTCAACACAAACATGTAAGAGAAACAGTTTGATTTCCCAACCCCCACTATGTTTCTTAAAAATATATATATTCAGTTAGAGATTATAATGAGTGACAAGAGAACGGGGAAAGGGTTGATTGTAGGGAAGGTGTCAGTGTTTTTTCTTTGATTTATTTATTTAATCATTAGAAAGGCAGACATTTTGATCCATCTTGATCATGCTTGTGTTTCTGAGTGAACAAGTAAATGAGTACAAACTAGAATAAATGATTAATATTTCAAGAGGTGAAATGTAAAGAACCAAATAAGAAAAAATTCCAACAAAGATTTAACTCTTCCACACATATATATCATCAGTGTTAAAACTGTACATCATTGTCATCTAAGGTTTATAAAAGCAGGGACTGGGAAACAAGAGGGAGATGAGGAGGAAGAAAATAAGATCTATGTTATTCATTTAATTAACAAGGCTGACATGGTGGGAAGCAATGTCATTTGCAGAATTGGACCTGGGCAGATTTCTAAATAATCAAGAGGTCCAATAGACTGTCTAAATTTGTCAATTTAAACTTAATTTTTGTAATATTATTAAGAATATCACAATCTTCAAGTCTTTCAATTGAGTATTAAAAAACAAAACAAAAAGAAAACATTGTTTATTACATATATATATTTTTTTTTTTTAGGCTGGCTGAAGTAACAAGGAAACAGAGAAAGAAACAATATTATAATTCCTGGTGATGTAAGATGCTGGCATTGAAGTTAAGTTTATTTTTGCTGGAGGAGAATTTATACATTAGTGGCAATAATCAGGGAGCTGGCTTCAGGATTCATCCTTATCCTCTTCATCATAATCTTCCACTTCGTCATCATCGTCATCATCATCATCGTCATCAATGTCCTAAACCAACAAAGAATTTTTTTTAAAGTTCTCAACAGAAATTCAATTTATCAAAGTCAACAATGTGTATTTTACACATATGCACATTTATTTATTATTCTTTATTTTTATTTATTTATTATCTATTCATTTATTTCCCTCCACAGGAAAATTGACTACCCCATTATCTTACCAGTAGCCTATAAATAAAGAAGTGTTAGGTTGTACAGTTTTAATTTGTACTTGATTGTTGTATGCATGAAACTCAATAATATTAACTAGTGAAGAACAAATGTATAATTATTCTTAATATAAATTTTAGCTCTGTAATTTTACATAGATCATTCTTATTACTACCAGCACTCACTGTGCACAAATGTATCAATATAAATTTGCAGAAGGGATTTTTTTATTAATTTTATTCTTTCCTATATTTTCTTTTTTGCAATATTAAAAGTGGCTGTGGCAAAAGTTTAATCAACAAATGCTTAGAAAAGTTCTGAAATTTATTTCAAAAACCTTCCTGGTATTGATAAAGAAAATTTAAAGAAAAATTATTTCATAGGAATCATGTACTGATTTTAATAAAAAATTATCCCATCAAATTATGAAAAGAAAAGTTTTTGATTCTCCATGGTACAAGACAAAATCTATATGAAAATGCTTTCACCATTTTCTAATCCTTATTATCAATTACTAAGAAACAATACAGAAATTTGATTTTACACATGCATTAAAGACAAAAATAAAATAATCAAACATACATGAATGCAAATAAAATTCTCATCAACACTGATACAAGTTAAATATAGGATTTGGACCATTAGTACATTATTCTCTGTGGATGTTGTTTTTTACCAATTCACACAGCAAAATTTATTAAGCTCTCTGAATGAATGCTTGTGATTTAATAGAAATTAAATATTTCTATTAATGAGCAGTGGTTATATAAAAAAAATAATATTCTCTTAAGTTTGGAAATTTGTAGAAAAAGTAATATCAAGAAAAGAAAAAGTAATTCAACAAAAGAATTGATTGTTTGATTTTGTTTTTTATATATATATATATATATATATATATATAGGTTATCAAGCTTTTATTAGACTAAGAATTTTCAGAAATAATGATTTAATGATAAAAGTCCTATTATTTAATCCATAGGTGGGAGAGGAGATGTGGATTCATACCTTTCCCAGGGAATGTGTTAAAAATAATAATAAAAAAGAATACTTTGAAAACTCTACAGAATTTTCAGACATATTTGGACTTATAAAAAAGTACTCCACTGAAATCACTTTTTCCCCCCCATTTTTGAATTCCCTGACTTATTATTCCTTGCAAACGATCTACAGCAAAAATTGAAAAATACTTTATCATTACAGACAAATGTTTGTCTCAGTGTACAGTTTTACTTCATTTTCATATTGAAAGGATCACTGCAAACTTTTGTTTTGACAAACATTAGCTTGCTTATCTGTTTTATAAATAGGTTTGTGTATATGTGAAAAATTAGAATTTACTTTATTTTCCAGAAAATCTCATGTTAACTTATAGGGATAGTTTAGTAGTGAATTTATAGTGGGTTTCAAAAATTTAGTATACTAAAGTATATAAACTCTACTTATTGATTAGATTAGAAGAAATTAAATAGAGCAGGAAAAGGGCAATTTACACTACAATAAGACTTAAATATGAGAGTAAGAAAATCTGGCTATATGTGGATTTGATAAAACTACCTTAAGAAAAAAAAGTAGAAGCTAGATGAATTTGTGCAACACCCAATAATTCTTATCATTAAAAAGAAATTGGGTTGGGAGAAAGAAAGTTGATGAAAAACAGAGAAAAGAAAGAATACTCACAAGTTCCCCAAGCTCTTTCAATTTCTTTTTATATTGGTCAATTCGACAGTCCTGATCAGCTAAAAGCACTAAGAGATCTTCTTGTTCTTTTTTCAATGTTTCTGTGTCAACCAAAATATTTTCTTTCTCAATATTTATATTATTTTTCTCCTCTTCAAGTTTCTAGAACAAGAAAACAAATAAAAGTGAGCAATTTGTAATTTAAGTTAGCTTAAAACTGGCAGCCTTTAGAAATAAAAATTTATTCTGGAAAAGGTAAAAAAAAAAAAAGATTTAAAACTCACTAATTCAAGATAAACCATTTAGAATTTTAGGTACACATTTTTAAAAAAAACTTTGTCATAGTCTTTCAGATCATGAAGAAAATAGATAATTGTTATTAAAAACTGGTCAAAATTTAAACTCTTACACTATAACAGAATTATGCTCTATAGTAGAGTAAAATTGTTGCATCATATTTCAGTGATTAATTAAATCTAAAGAATTTTTAAAAGCTGTTTTCCTCTTGTTAAATTTTGCCTCTTTTAGATTTCATTTCTATGATCTTAAATACTATTCATGCTGTAGAAAATAAAACAAGGTTCAAAAATAGGTAGTAGTAATGTATAAATATTTTAAACTAACAGTGAATAATAAAGATAAGCCAAAGGAGGAGATAAAAGCCATGCAAAATCCATCAAAATGCAGCAGAAAAAACAATGTTACCAAAAATTAATAAAGAAAAAATATACCTTGAGAGAAATTACATAACCAAAATGAGTGAAACCACATAGATATGCACATGCATGCACTTAAATACATCCTAAGTGAGATTTAGATGTTACAGTTTTTGAAAGGTGGTTTAAATTCACTTGAAGCTAATATTATTTAAATCTCATTAGTTTACTTATCTTTCCTGAAATTAACAACTATGTTATCATTCTTATGGTGAGAAAAAAATGATTGAACTGTATCAAAAGTAAACTAAAATTATGAATATTATTTCTTTGGAAACAGTGACTCTGTTCTATAATAATACAAAAAAAAAAAAAATATTTTAGGGTTAAAGATGAATTAACATATTTCATAAATATAACATTTGGAAAGAATAACCATTTTGGCTTTTAATTGGTACTCATTTAACTAGTTAAATATATGTTGTTGAATGGGTTTCATTTCTAATTTACACTTAATTAAAAAAAAAAAAAAAAAAAAAAAAAAGTTATTTGTTTTATTTGTTCACCACTTCCTTATCCAATTTGACTTCTTTTGCCTAAAAGATTAGGAAAGTTTCTTTAGCCTGCTTCCATTGAATGCTCACCTTTATTTTATCCAAAAGTCTTAAATTCTCATCATTTGATTTTGTTAAACGTGCTTGCAAAGCTGTCTTCTCACTCTGCACTGTCTTTACTTGTTCAGTGAGGGTGGCCAGCTGCTCTTCAGACACCGAAGATGGCACTGCCTCAGTGTTGCTTTCAGCCTTCTGCAATGACATGAGGAGTCCAAGGTGGAGCTATCTTAAAGTAACAGTTCACTAAATAGAGAGAGACAGACAGACAGGAAAGGAGAACAGAGTAGTGCTGGTAGTAGTGAGAATATGAGGGATACTTATTGGCTAAGCATGAAATAAGAGAAGTGTAGAGGGGGGGTATTAACAGGAAGAAGAATGTATTCAGGCTGACAACAATAGGGACAGGACACCATTTAACATGCTAGCTAATACAAATAAACAAGAAAGCAACAAACAAAAATTTCTGTTTTATGAATTTTACACTTCAATATTTTAACTACACCAGTCTACGCAAAACTATCTGTAGAAATAATTAGTTATTTGTTTTTCACCCATTTCAAATCAGTTTCCATGGCCATTATATATATATATATATATATATATATATATATATCAAGAGAGAAACTGTTATCTGATCCAGCATGCTTTAGACCACTCAGCCACAGAGTGTCACAGCCCATGAAATCAATAGATTTTTTATTTAAAAGTATTTCCTACTATCCCAAATGCTATTTTGTGGTTTTTTAAATATTTTTTTAAACCACGTGAATGAAATCTACTAGGCTATGCATTTGAGAGATTTAATAAAGAGTATGTGTTCTCTGGCGGGGTTCAAATCTGCATTCGTCTTTGTAGGAGAAACCATTGTCTAATTCAGTATGCCTTAGACCTCTTGGCCTAGCACAATTACCCTGTTATATCTCGTGCAAGATATAATAAACAAAGTAAACCCGAGTGTTGGTTTTTCAATAATAATTTTATAATCGGATGTAGGTATGTCAAAATACAGAGACAGAGTCGGAAGTATGCTAACCTCAATATGTGTTAACAAACGAAGACTCTTTTGACTGTCCGCTGAGGTCGTACTTAATCGGCAACCAGTCCGTCCATTATCGTGAATGGGGAAGTTGGGTTATATCATCACAACACCTCCCCCCAAAGCTGAAATTCTCCCTTTTGAAAATTTCTGCTTCTAATGTCGTCTTCTTTTTGGATCCGGACTAAAACGCTCCACTGGTTTTCTTTCCCATGTGCTCCTTCTTTTAGTCGTCACAATTAGATCCTTTTTTGGCGAAGATAATTTCCGCTTTTCAGCCCGTAAGGCTGGTCCATGCGATACAGGTTCAAATACACTATTGGGTAGTGTCATGTTAAAAGCATCGCATAACACTTCCATCGGAATTTCTTCTTCGCTTTTTTCGCTTTCTTCACCATATCGTGGTCTAATCTGATTGATGTGTCTTTTACACGTAAATTTTTACATTTAATCGTGTAGACCACTTTACCAATCCTTTTCTGGATTATGCCATCCATCCAATAGCTTTTTCCACTTTTAAAATTTAAAAAAAAAAAACTGTCTCCTGAAGTGTATTTTTTTATGTTGACTTTTTTCTCTTTCTTAGCAACTTTTTTGTTTTGATAGGGTAACAATCTATCGAAAATTGATCTAATTTTCCTTGCGAACATAATTTCCGCTGGTGACATTTTCGCATCGTTGTTCTCATTAGGAGTTACCCTATAGATTGCTAAGAACTTCTGAATAGTTCTTTCTTCCATGTCCATACCTTTATTTTTACATAAAGCACGTTTAAAGGTGTCAACAAATTTCTCGGCTTGACCGTTCGACCTGGGATGACACACTGGTGTAGTTATGTGTTCAATGTCTAAGGCAGTATAGAAATCCTTAAACTCCATACTTGTGAACGCCGTACCATTGTCGCTCACCAATGTCCTGGAAACCCCGAAATGACTGAAAATTTCATCCAATGCACTGATGGTGTTCCTAGATGTAGGATGCTTGCACTTGACTACCTCAGGCCATTTCGATAAAGAGTCCACCAATATCAAATAATAGTACCCATTAATTGGTCCAGCATAGTCTATATGTAGACGTGCCCACGGCAAATCCGTTTTCGGCCAAGGATTCATTTTGACCGGAGGTGCCCTTGCAGCCAATTGACAACCTCTACATAGTCTTACAAAACCTTCAATATCCTTGTCCATTCCTGGCCAGTATACGTAACCACGCACGAGTGATTTCATCCGAGACATTCCAGGATGACCGGTATGAAATTCTTTCAGCATATCTGTACGTAAAGATTTAGGTATAACAATTCTATCTGCGTACATCAACGTGTTGTCGCAAATTGAAAAAGGTGAAATCTGAGTTCCCTTTTTCTGTCTTTTGTTCCATCTCGTCTGGTTCCTTAATTTCACAATATAGTGATCTTTTTCCGCTTCTTTTTTATTTGGTCCAAAGTTACGGCAATTCCCTGATTGTATTCAACAAGAGACCTGATATTTCTTTTTCCTCAGTTAATGCTGCTATAACCGTCTCTTCTAAAATTTCTTCATTTTTTGGAATCAGCCTTTACAATCCATCCGCATGCCCCGTTTCTTTAGATTTGACGTATTCCATCCTAAAATGGTAATTAAGCAGGGTTACACCCCATCGCCGTAAGCGATTAGCTGTATCTTTAGGGAATGCCTTTTTACCTCAAATATTGTAAGTAACGGTTTATGGGCCGTTTGAAGTACAAATGATCTACCATGTAAAAAGCGATGGTATTTTTTAACCCCGAACACAATCGACAAAACCTCTTTCTCGATCTGACTATAATTTTTTCAGCGGAAGAAGAGTCCTCGACGAGTGCGCGATCAGTTTAGTAGTGCCATCTTCATATTTGTGTAGCAGTGCAGCACCCACTCCATACAAACTTCACGTCAGTTGCCAGAATGATCTCTTTCTCAGGATCATAATGTGCTAAGGCGAGATCTGAGAGTAGGCATTTTTTATTTTCTGAAAAGCCGTCTACGCAATCTTTTGACCAAAACCATTTCTTGTCTTTTTTCAACAATTCGTTAAGGGGGGCTCTTAAATCATACATTTTAGGTATGTAGATTGCATAATATTGTGCCAACCCCAGAAACGATTGTAGTTTTGCAACTGTCTCGGGTGCAGGCATGTTCTTAATTGCATCGGCTCTCTGTGGGTCCAGTTTCCTGCCTTCACTGTCTATTACCTGTCCGAGGTATGTAATTCTTTCCATGAAGAATTTACACTTCTCATGGCTTAATTTAAAGCCAAAATCTTCTAGTCTTTTGAATATCACTCTGATGTGCGTTTTATGTTTTTGAACATTCTTACTTTTGACTAGAATGTCATCTAAAGAGGTGGTACCAAACTCAAGGCCTGCCAAAGCTGGGGCGACCTTTAAGCCGAAAGAAAGCCTATTTAGCTTATAAATACCTTTATGTGTATTTATACACAAATATTTTGAGCATTCGTCACTCACTTTAATCTGCAAGTATCGTCAGACAGGTCGATTTTTGAAAAAATCTTCCCCCATTCAATTTTGAAAAATATCTTCTGGTGAAGGTAGTGGATAACTGATTTTTAAGGCAATCATTTAACCCTGTTGAAAAATCTCTTTGCTCTTATTTTTCCGTTTTTCTTCTTAACATAAACTGTGGGCGAGGCCCAATCTGCATGGTCAACCTTAGATATCACTCCCATTTTTTCAAGTCTTTCCAATTCCTTATTAATTGTGTCTAAAGAGGAAAAAGGAACGTTTCTCTTAGGTTTAAAAATTGGCTTCACATTTTCCTTGAGTTCAAATTTGACTTCCGTCTTAGTACATAAACCCAATCCCTCAGAAAAAACTCTGGGATATTCTTCTTTTAATTCATTCATGAATTTTTCATTTTTAATACTTTTTTGTTTTTCTGCACTGTTTATTACGTTGCAAAATGAGTTAATCGGGAGTTCAAACAAATCAAAAGTACTATCCAGTCTATTCCAAAAGACATGAATTAATCCCTTGGATTACATACACTTTCGTTTTTGCAGTCTTGCCACATAACGAAATATCGCACTTTTAATTCTCCTTAAAATTTAATTTCTTTCCTGAAACCCCTCTCGCGTTTTTTTGGTTTCAGATAATTTGGGTCTTCCAATATTTTTCCATGTTTGTTCATCAATGATGCTTATGTCTGAACCAGAATCCAATAGGAAAGTAATTGTATGATTATTTATACGTACATCTACGTACTTTCTATTTTTACCTTTCTGAATTTCTTTTTCTGATAATACCAGGCTTACATCTTGTAATTTCCTTTTCTTGTGGCAAACCGAATATAATTTTTTTTTTTTTTTTTTTTTTTTTTTTTAGACGGCTAACAGACAATTTACAGCCGTAATATTTTTACAACCCGTAATTTTTACTTGAATAATCAATTATTAGACCGGCTTGCATTTGAGTCGCGGTTCAATATATATTTTTCAAATCACAATTTAACAGTAAAAATTTTCTTACTTTTCAAAAAGTTTCCTTTTGACTTGTGACTCTGTTTTCCAAATCCTAATCGGCGTCAACCAGTCCGTCCATTATCGTGAATGGGGAACTTGGGCTATATCATCACAACACCTCCCCCCGAATCTGATATATATATATATATTTTTTTTTTTTCAAGTAAGTACGTTGCACAATCCTCGTCGCCAGCTGTTATATCTCATGCAAGGTAAAACAAAGTAAACCCGAGTGTTGGTTTTTCAATAATTTTTTATAATCGGATGTAGGTATGTCAAAATACAGAGACAGAGTCGGAAGTATGCTAACCTCAATAGGTGTTAACAAACAAAGACTCTTTTGACTGTCCGCTGCGGTCGTACTTAATTGGCAACCAGTCTGTCCATTATCGTGAATGGGGAAGTTGGGTTATATCATCACAACATACCCTTTTGACGAATGCACATCCTCTATGACACACACATTTTAATTTCAGAATATGTTTTCTTATTTTCAGTGATACAATATTCTAATATGTTAAATCAAGTGTTTATATAGATGTAAAAATAAATAAACAATAATATCCTAGAAACAAATTAATGATATTACCTAATGTTATAAATACTAAATTATATTGTACTAGCAACCAGGATCAATTGATATTTTTTTTCTATCAGATTTAAGGAGCATTTAAATATTAAATGACATTTATAAATTATAAATGAATAAAGCAGGTGGGAGGAATTAATTTTATTTGGAAAAAAATACACTTCTATATATTCAATGTATATTGATGAAGTAGTAAAATATGAAAGAATTTTATATTTTAAATTCAACAAATAGAATTATATACATTGTCTTATAATATTTTTAGCTTGAATAGATAGTGTGATTTTCTAATTGCTTTGTATATTTAAGATTTTGATAGTTTATAAAACTATCAATCTTAAATATTGCAGTCATTTTATAGCACAGAATAAATAATATTTTACATTCAAAATTATCAATAATGTCAGCAATGGTAATATATTTCATATTGGCATTAAAATAAGGAAATATCTCATTACTTGATCTATGTAGAAGAACCAAATTAGTTGATAAAAAAGATGATGCACTCTCACAGACATAAAATTTACATATAATCTTCAAGAAACATTCAAGGTTATGTTGAAAATTCTTTTAATATAAATTACAAATCAGTTATTTCTTGGAAAAAATGATGAAGCATCTAGGAATTAAAAATAATTTTGAGATTAGCTAATTTTTTTAACAGTTTTTCTAGAGAAAAAATAGAAGACCTTTTTGTACGGTGTGTATTAAATTATTATAATTTCTTATTCTTTTCATTCAGATAAAAATAAAAAGCTAACAGTTATTAATTTTTTTTTTTTTTTACTTTTTTTCATGATGTACATTCATAAATATACACATCAAACAGAATATTCAAATAAGCTAAAACTTAATTCCTGCTTTACAAAGCTACTTAATTAAAAAGAAATATAGTTTAAAAAAAATGTAATTGTACATAAGATTTTTCTTTTTAAATTTTAAAATGTTTTATTAGACAAAATAGGTTAACTTTTAAAATAATGTAAATATAAACTGAAACTTAAGAAGAAAAGCTGATAATTTAAAAATAGTTTAAGCAGAAATCTATGCCTGTTACTTACTTTAGATTCCAGTAATTTCTCTAATTCTTCTTTTTGTGAGAGTGCTGTGTGGATTTGTTCATCTTTATCTGCTAGAGTGTGTCTCAATTCTGTCATCTCTACTGTCAATTGTTGAATGCTTGTTTGTAGATGGGCTGTCTCTGTAGGGCAGTTCTCTTTATTCTCTTCTCCCCCAGACAACTCATTCAGATTGACACAAGCTGCTTGGGCTGCTATCAAATCTACTTTCTGTAAAAAAACAAATATTCAGCAATTTTTTTTTTCTACTATATCTGATTATCTTTAAAACTTATTTGACAATTATCACATCAGCATAAGGTTAAATTTGACAATTTACAAATCTGTAATCACAGAAATCTTTTCTTCAATCATAAATAAAGCACCTAAACTTAAGACATTGTAAAAAAAAAAAAATCATATCATCATGAGCAGGGAATTCATATATTTAACATAACACTAGTTGATCTAAAATGGTTAATATTTTTAAGGAAGTGGAGTAGGCTTTTGTTGCATATAGGTTTAACTCAGGCATACAAAAAGCCTATAATTATAGCTATTTTCATTTTATAGATTAATTCATACAACAATAACCAAATTCATTAAAATATTAAATTTATATTACCAGTAATATTGCTTCAAAGTTTAAAGTGTCTTTGTTAATTTAATGATAGATTGATTTATTAATTTGTTACTTTACAGCTTACCAATTGTTTGCAGGTTTTTTTAAGCCATAAAATATTTTTAGATTGAAGAGTTTTTTTTGAAATAATGATTTACTGATACAAGTCCTACTAATTAACCCATAGCTGGGGAGAGAAGAGGTGGATTCATACCTTTCCCAAGAGTATTTGCATGGAAGTGAATATAACAAACCCAACTGGAATTTGAGCTCTGCTCTCTAATTTCCAATTGAGCCATTATCCATTACACCACCTGCACATTCAAGCTCACAATACCTGGTATTACTAAGCAGTCATTCATCTAGTTACTGACCAGGCTCAACATTGCTTAACTTTGTGACTGTGCAAGAACCAGTGGGTGTAAGCCAATTTAATGATAGAAAACAAAATACACATTTTTAGATAATTTTAAAAATTACCCAAGGGTTTCTAACATAAAATCTATGAAGTAAAATCTCAAAATACATCATACACTATTAAACTTATAATCATAGCTAAAAGTGATTGTAAATGTTCTAGTCACTGCCTTTATTAGATTATTGGTTTGTCATTGACCAGTTACAAGGTCTCATGCCATCAACACTTTCTGCACCCACATTGTATTAAAATATCTGCAGAAAAGGAGGTTGATAGAGTTATCATCAACACAAATATGCTGTGCTTAAATGAAGGAATGTAGATGGTTTACATTTAAACCTGATCTAACTGGGCCAGTTCATTCACAAACCAAAGTTTCCATGATTGTTGACAACTTTAAAAACTGAAGAGACACTTGTTAACAAATGTAAAAGTAGTTTTATTCTAATATGATTACAAAATCATATACAACATAAAAAACGAAGATAAATAGCAAAAATGCTAAATTGGAAATGCACATTTACAACTCAAAGGATAAAACTGACACGCTAATCAGACCAAAGCTGGTGGGCATATGCAATGGACATAGTTTTAAGATGTCTTGATAGAGAAGAACAGTTCCAGGATTTTGACTGTGGTCAACAGCAAAGTGGACTATTTTAGTGACAGTTCTGACAATTACCTTGAATTAGATATGCAATTTCTAATCTAATATTTGATTTGATTTTTCAAATACATCTAATTTCATCAATGAAACTTATGTCAGGATCAATGCTTCTTAGATACCCAGCAATGATCTATAGTCTATAGCCAGTAGAGAGCAAATTATGCCAGCTCTGAACTTTTTGATGCACAAAAACTTTGCTGTTTATATTATTTTCTACCAGAAAGTTTGGTTTCAACTGTTTTGATTGACAAGACAATATAACCCCTAACCAATCAAATAATGCATAAACAAAAATGTCCATAGAACACCAGGTCACATACTGATGTGAGATAAGAAAACTAAATAACCCCTGAACTTTATGTATTCAAAGGCTCAATGATGAGTAACATGGTTAAATCAACACTCCTTTATTTTATTCTAGAATTTCTGCTAATGCATTTGCCATGTATTTATAAAAATCTTGGTTACTTCTATCAACTTATTTTATTCTCAAGTAAATCAAACCTAATTACAACCAATTAATACCACCACCTGATAATGAAAATTCCTACAAATAAATCTACAGCAGGTAATATCAATCATAAAAAATGTGCTGTTATTTTTTCTGTGTAACTCTATTTTATACTGAAATAATTTTTTAAACTTGCACACCATACAGATGATGGTATTTAAAAAAAAGTTAAAAAAAAAAGAAAGACAAATCATAAGCACTTACTACTTTTTGAAGTTCGTCATCTTTAGCTTTTAATTTTGATTGTAAATTTTCAAGTTCTTGTTTCATTTGAGATAATTCTTCCTCTTTTTTAGAATCTGTTTGGGATCCATAGGAACCTGTGAAAATAAAGAAGTTAAAATAGTGTTAATTTTAGGCTATATTTTCTGCATTCACTAATGTTTTGGAGATGTTATTACTAGCACTTTACTTGGATTAGTCACAAGGGAAATTTTATTACTTGATAATTAAAACTTTTACAGAAAAAATTACCTTTACAGGATATGTCTATAAATTCCTTTCTACTTTTAGAGAATACTGTACCTGTTTTGTAGTTCAAAAGGGAAAGAAATACATAAAATCTGTCTTTAATATCTGGAAGAGGCTGACTTTATGAATTACTGATAAAAGTGAGCAAAGTGATAAGTTTCAAGCTTTAGGTTGTTTTGTTAACATTTTCTTGTAAATAAATTCCTCAAGAGTTTGAGAAAAAAAGGAACTTATAACAATTGTATATAAGTAGGTATCTGAAATTAAAATTTTATTTTAAATATATCTAAAAACTTTTAATATAGACATAGAAAGCCTGACAAAACATAAAAAATGATACCAAATTTATCAATTTTGTAGTCAAGTTATGACTATTCAAAGTTGGTTAGAACTTGGAAAATTTTCTGTCTTGTGTGCTATTGGACCAGAAGCCGATTTTAACAGTGTATAACTGAAGATGCAGGTTTTAAACAAGTGGAAAATCATTATCAGTGTAATGTCATAAAGTAAAAGAAATATAATACTGATTGAATCAATAATTATTAGATCCAACCAGCCTAAACATTGGGGAAAATTGTGTTCTCAAAAACAAAATAATAGAAAAATGAAACACGGGCAATTCCGACTGATCCTATAAGTTTCATTCCAACAGTTAATGCCTTGCAACTTCTTCCTATGATTCAGAGCCCAACAGAGATTAAGCTTTTTTTTTTCAATAGCTCATATTTACAACACGTTAAACAGCCAGAAGTTCAGTTGGACAGTAGGGCAAAAACAGGTCAAAAGTATACCATCCTGAACTTGCTATAAAAAAAAGTATCCATTAGAGGCACATGGCTGAAACTTGGTGTCCTTCAAAAATTGTTTATTATAAATCTTTAAATTCATTTATCTTCAATCTAGAAAAATGACAAGAATAAAAATACATTTATTGCAACTGATGAACAAGACTTTCTGGACAATTGGAATGATCCTCTTCTAATGGTGATTTGCAGTCTAAATTTGTTTATAAGCCTCTTCTATAGCCAATATTCCTTCATCACTTGAAAGTGGTATTATTTCAAAGTTTCATCTAAAGACAATTGTTGATGTCACTTGTGCAATATCATCTAACAAATGACATCAAAAATAATAATTTTTGCCTTTGGTTGGAACTAAAATTTTTATTACAGCACTGGACAAAGATGTAATATAATGATTTGGTAAAATTGGAGTAATAGCATACTGCAACCAATTGACCTTGATACTTGTAACTAAAAGTTATTTGAAGTGGTTCTTCATTACAAATGCTAGAGTTGTTTGAATACTCAGATTCACTGTGTACTTTTCTTCCTTCCTTTTAGAGGTGGAGATGAAGTTCCATTAAAAGTTATATCACTATCTCTCCCTATCATTACACATTGTTTAACTATATCAGCATACATTTAGGAATTTGGAGTCTTCTTCAGCCCACTTCTCCCAGCAAGAAGAAAACTATTTCTTGGGGTGTGGAGTTCATGATCCACAGAACAGAAGATTAAATATAAATTTTATTAAACATTTAAGTAGGGGTCTTTGGCATGAAAAGCACTAATACATGATAAAAAATAAATAAATATGGTTACACAATTTCATTTTAACTTCTGAAATAGGATCTAATCCCTAGAATAAGTAAATAGTCATTAAAAAAAAATTGAAAATTACTTAAATTACATTTCAATTTTTTTATGGACCCATGTATCAAAGTTAAGCTAAAACATATCCTGTTCATTTTTTTAAATTTTATTTTGTATAAAATGTATCCAGATTTATTTTTTTTTTTAAAGAAAATATAAATAAATTATCAATTTAATCCCCAAATCCCAAGTATTAAAGAAAATAAAAACCAAAAATATAACTAGTAAACAGGGTGTGATTGATAAATTGTCGCCTAAATTATGCAAAAAATGAAAATAACACTAACATATCATTTTAAAAGATATATTTACCAAAATTACACAATATCTTGAAATACTAAAGAGTAAATTTATTCAATAAAATCACCATTGACTTCAACCACTGCCTCCAGATGACTTCGGAATCTCCTTTTCTGGACAGTCTTCTTGTTTAAGTTGGTGAATGCTACCATAATCCTTGCCTTCACTTCATCTTTGGTGTTACAAAGAGTTTTGTTGGTCTCTTGCTCAACTACACCTCCACACATAATGATCAAGGGAGTTGCAGCCTGGGGAGTTAGGTGGCCAGATGTGAGGGGGTGATGTGGTCGCAGAAATTGTCTAACAGCAATGATTGGGTTCTCCTGCTTTTATGGCATGGTGCAGAGTCCTGTTGCCAGACATAGGGTCTTCCAGCAACCTCCCATCTTGATCCAGGGCAGCGCTACCTTGTCAAAGCAATACCTGTAGTCTTCTGTGTTGAGTCTGAGGCACCGTGGGAAGATGAATAATGTTGTCATTACTAGTGATCACACCAAACACATTTGTAATCACCATTAGACTCATCCAACTCTTTCTGAATCCTATACACTGTCCTCAGATTGACATCCAAACACTCTGAAATTTGTATTGGAATTTCCAGTGCAAATGTCAAGCAGTACAGCATGCCATTTCCAAATTTCTGGTGGAGTGAATTGTGTCATGGTGCTCTTTTTTTAAAGATGGTGTCCAACTGGCCCTGCTATACTGTGATCAAAAACAAACAATACGCATATACGTGAAATTAAAAATATACAATGGCGACAATTTATCCATCGCACCCTGTATATATATTTTATTTTATATTAATTCAGTTTAATGTATTTTTTTTAAAGAAAGTACATTAAAATAACAGCTGAGGCAAAAGTGATTTGAATGGACAAAAATGAATAAGTACTATATGTAGTTTTAAAATGCATCATTAAAGAAAATATTTAAAAAAAGCTTTAAACTGTATAATATCCATCAATGAAACAAGTTTGATTTAAAATGAGCTTCATCTGTTACTGTTCAGCAATACAAATTTTGATGCATTAGAACCAACAGTTTTGCACAAAATGAACACAGTATACTCTCATTTTGATTCACATGTGCTTTGAGTTGTATGGGTAGAGAGATATGAAACCAACTGATTATAATTGCTCTACAAGAAGGTGTGATTTTCTTTTGTTTAAGATTTTAATTTCTCTGGTATTTTATCCACTAAAGATTTCAACTTAGAAATTTTTGTGCAAAAGACAACTTCTATGCCCACTAAATTGATGAGCATCTGTTTTACTTTAGGATGGGACTATTTTGATATGTGTAGGGAGATACAACTTGAAGTGCAACAAATGTGAAATAAAAAAAAACACTATGAAATTGTCAGTTGAGAAAAGAAGTACTATTGTTGAAATAGAAACATAATTTAAGGAGATATGGAATAAAAACTAATCATCACACATGAGAAAGAATTGCATCTTTATAAAGAAAAAGATTAAATTTTGTTTACATACTAATTTTATCAAAATTAGCCTAAAAAATAAGATATCATTAGTTAAAATTGAAAGAAATTTCACTATTTTGACAAGTTTCCACAGTGTAAACTAGGGCAGTGTGGGTTCCCAAATATAAGCAACAGGTTTTTTTCTTAAATATTTATTTCATATTTCATTTTGGAAATTTATAGAACATAAATATATTAAGCTTCTTGAATTCTTTTGATGTGATTTTAAAATTCTTCAATAAAAATATTTTGTGTCTTTTTTATGAAACAGAAGGTGAAATTTTGTCATCATTGATTAAATTTTATTCAGAATTGAGGAGAGAAAATTATTTTTAAAGAGTAAAGTTATCAATGTCAATAATAGACATCAAATGTGAGTACAGAGGAACAGTAGATATAAGAAAATTAAACAAGACTGGAGTGGGGAGTTACCTTTTTGGGCCTTTAAAACAGCATTTTGGTCTTTAAGTTGTTGAATTTGCAGTTTCATTTCATCCATCTCCTCTTTACATGAAGTGTCTTTTGCTTGTAATTTCTTTAACTCTTTTTTCATTTCATTCAGCTGAGTATCCTAGAAAGTAAAATCAGTACAAATGCCAAAAATTTAGTACTCTTATATATGTGATAAAAATATAGTTTTAAAGTATGCTATATTTATAGGTAAATGTGCTCAATATCAGAGATAGAGCATATGTAAATATAAAAGTGGACACTGAGTTCAACACCAAGTTGCAACAGCCTGTTTCCTGCATGAACACAATCTTTATGGTCTGAAGATTGCATTCAAGTATGAAACAGACTGTCACTGCTTGGTGGTGACCTCAGTATATAAGAGGGAAGGTTACATTTCTATGTCAATTACAACTAAAATTTCTGATAAAAATAAGTAGTTCTTGGATAAGCTTTTGCCTTGAAAACTAACATTTTTGTAATTGAATTATTTGCTAATTTTAAAGTAAATGAGACTAAAACATTTTCCACAGATTCAAATTCACAGTTTCCTAATATTACACAAACAGTATAAATAGTATAAATGCTGCTTTATTAAACAGGAATGCATTTACTCAGCTATTATTTTCAATTATTCAAACATATTTCAGTGACAATAAGTAAAATTGCTTTTTAGTTGCTAAAATGAAGATTTATCAAGAGAAAGACTTTAAATTCTCCTGATGGACTACCTGACTCACTTGGAGTTCTTTATTTAAGGTGTCTTGCCTAGTTCATTTCTGTTACTAAGGGTGTGATATTTACTCCACATCATAATGTAAACAGTAAAATGTTAATTTATATAACTCACCTGTTCTCGTATTAGTTCTTTGTACTGTATTACAATATTGCTATGTTCCTGAACGCTAGCTGATTTACTTTTACCTTTGTCATCAGATACGGAAACAGCATGTAACACTTCATCTGCACAATGTATTAAAAGAAAACAAAATACTGTAGAATATCACATATCAGTTACAAAACAATATTTTTTTTTAATTATTTTGATAATAAAACAATATACATTAGAAGCTTCACACAACATATTCAATGCAAAATAAGAATAACTTATCACAAAGTAAATTTATTCTTCATGAAAAAACTTTAGTTTAGGATTAATATATCTTGTTGACAGTGTTAAAAATAAATTCATTAAATGAAATAAGCTTAGCTTTCATATACTGGATATGATCATTGAATTGAAAGAGAAAATTAAAGTACTAGAGCCCTATCTGTCAGATCAAATATGTCAACTTGAATGTCAAAATGAAATGGAAATTCGCATCTTGACACTAACTTAATGTTTCCTATACATCAATGTTAATATAGGTGACAGGAGTATCTTACTTATTATAAAACGCAGATTGTGTGTGTGTGTGTCTGTACGTTTATATATTGGATCGGATTTCCTACATTTTTTCAACCGATTTCAACAAAACTTCACAGGACTACGTAAAAATTACCTTGCGGTGGTTCTGACAGCGTAAAAATTGGAAAAAACAATTGTTTTTGCACGAAATCAATTTGAAAACCCGATTCTGTCGCCAGAATGAAAGGGGGACAACTCATATCGAGTTATACTTATTATAAAACCCAGGTTGTTTGTGTGTGTCTGTGTTCGTTTATATATGGGGTCGGATTTCCTACATTTTTCAACCGATTTCAACAAAACTTCACTTTTTTTGGCAGGTAGTGTTTCTTATTGTCTTGCACCCTTTTTTCTTTTATTTTTGCATTCAGAATGCTTTAAAAATTCCATCTACAAGACAATTATTTATAATAAAATTCTATTCAATCGATAGACTCATAACGATTGAAAACAATGTTTTTATTTGAGTTTGGGTTTGACCAATTCGTAAAAAAAAAAAAAAAAAAAAAAAAAAATTAAGACATGCGTGTCCGTCAACCTTAAACAATAATCTTTGTCAATTTTATTTTTCAGTCTTTATGATGGTCGATACTTGGTCTATCTCTTACTGTTACATCCCCGGGCAACGCCGGGCTCTACTGCTAGTATTAAATATGTAGTTCCCTTTGACTGTATATCAGAAAGATACTTTAGACACAAAATGAATTAACCAGAACATGGAAGATTTAAATTCAATAATTTTACAGAAATATCCATTGTCTTTAGTAACAATAAAACCTGTTTCTACTCATTTTTTTTTGCAATCATTGTAGAACATATAACAATAAAAAGTCCACCAGTAAAAATACAATGACAGAGAATGAGACAAAGCAGATAAGAGAATTATTAGCAAAACAAAAAGTTTGAACATTAAATAGTATTGTTTCTTTGATCTTAATGATTACCATTAGATAAAAAAAACTCTTACTATCCTTAAAAACTTTGTATCTGTCCAATATGCCACAGCAAAGATATAGAATAATTACAGAACTTTTCTCATTTTAAAGTAACATGCTAACACCTTTTAAGTTAATTTTTTTCATTGCTTACAGTTATTGTCAAAAGTACAACAAAATTACAAAAACAATGAAAACTTATTAGAACTGTTTTTCAGAAATACCGTATATACACAAGTATAGGAGTTTTTATGATCAGTTATTTTATGCAAAAAATAGGGGAATAGCACTATACACAGGTAATTTTTTTTTTTGAAGAGGTTATAAAATCATACATTTTTGGTGACCCTTTGACTGTACACAAATTTTTTTCTGGAGGGGTTAAAATTCATGCAAAAAAATTCAGGTGTCACACTATACATGAAGTCAGCTTATACACAAGTATATATGGTATTCACTTTGTAATGTATGCAATATTTTAAAAATATTCAATAAATTTGTAATTCAACACCAAATGGTTTCTAAAGAAGCCTGAACAGAATTGTTATTTTTCAGGAATAATTATTTTTACTTTTTAATTCTGCTGATAATTTAGAAACTCTATATGTATTTTTAAAATTTCTATCCTCTTGAATTTATTTCCATATTTATAGTAAATAAAAGCATAACTTTAAAAAATGAATATTAAAACAACAAAGTAAATTTAAAAGAAGAATATTAAATACAATTATTTGAAAAAAAAGTTTAATATTTATTTATTCAAATATTCAAAACAAAAATTATAAAAACACAACAGAATAAATTCCCGTAGATATAGGGGGGGAATTTCAGTAGATTACAATCAGATATTCTACAAACATATGTCATTTTTTTTCAGCATTTTTAATCAGGAAATTTTTAATTACCTACTTTTAATAACAGGTTTACTTTAAATACACATTTTTTATGTTTACGTTGTAGGGATGGTAAGTAAATATTTCCTTCATTATGTTTACATATAATTTTATCTTTACAATATGCTGATAATATATTCTGGGTGGGACTTGAGCAGAGGTAAATATTAAAATCATATTTATAAAACTGGTGTTAATTTGATACACAATATATTTAATTTATTAAGTTTAGTGGAATGCCTATCTAATAATTATTTTCTAATTTAAAAAAATTAATTAATTACTCAATTCCCTATAAGTACCTGGCATGCCACCTTAAATTCTCATTTTGAAAAAGCAATATTCACTGAGGTTTTGTTGAATTATTTTTTATTAATAAAACTTTTACTAAATTATTTCAATTAATTTACTAGAAAATATTTATATCAAATTATAATTTAAAAAAAACTTTCCTAATGAATTGTTGAGTGGAATCTGTTTGCTATATCACTTTTACCATTTTATTGAAATTAATATTTTTTAAAAGTTTAGATATTAAATTTTAAAAATTAATGCATAAACAAATTATTTTAAATATACAATCATTTTAAACATGCTGGGGTTGTGATCATAAAACTTTTACTAAGCTATTTAATTTTGTAAAAATTATTTATGCTTTCAAAAATATTCTGTTTGTTCAATTATTTTTTATAATTAATAAAAATTTTACTAAATTTAAATTTTCAAAAAATATTTATGCTTTCATATTATATATAATTTTTCCTATTGTAGACAGAACATGAAAGACTGTTTACAACTTATATATATATATATATTTGAATTAATATTTTTTCATGAAATTAATCTGTCTTTATTTTTTTACTTTAATGACAAAAAAACAATTTAAGCATAAAATACCTTTTTTAACCCTAAAACGCTAACCATGGGTATATAGTACCCAGCGCAAATTTTCCTATTTTTAATTACAATTTTCAGTACCTGATTTTCTTACCTAAATAATATGTTTTTCAGTTCCTATTCATGTTAACTCAAAGTACAAAGTTTCAAGTGCCTGCATGTAAAATATTTCAAATAAAGATTTATATTTAATATTTTTTTTGATATTTTCAAAATTGGGTATGATATACCCATGGTTAGTAGTTGTGTAACTTTAATTGATGGTTAGTGTTCTAGGGTTAAAAATCACTATGAAACCAAATAAATTATTTTAAATGAAGTAATTATTTTCCAATTTAAAGAAAAATAATTACTGGTGTTAATTTGATAAAATACATAGACAATATCTTTACTTTAATAAATAGTGGAATGTTCATACTATAATTATTTTTTGTTTAAAAAAAAAAAAAAAAAAAATTGTACATAATTCCCTCTAACCATATGGCATGAGACTTCACAATCTCATTCAGAAAAAGAGAGACCTCCAGTCATATTCTTGAGAAATCTAGACCCCTGAGTCTTTCATCAGATTGATGATCAAAACAATGAATCATGTTATTGAATTTCAACATAGCAATGAAACCTAAGATGAAGTTATTTTTTCCAAGCAATGTCGGGTATCCCCGCTAGTGTTGCTATAATGTATTATAACTGTTTATTATTTTTCACACACATAATAGTTGGAATATAATATGCAAATATTTCTTTATATACCCAGATTGATTTAAGAATGTATATCAAAAACAAATACTGAATTTCCTATTACAAACCCTTGGTAAAGAACCCCTTGCCTAATTTTAATAAAAATTTGGCACTGTACTTGGCAAGGGTTCACAGTACAGGATTGATTGGGGGTATTATGTATTATTTAAATTGTATCTCAGGAACACACATACATACAAGATTAGAGTTTTAGTATTATATAGATATGGTTAGTGTCTTCTTTGACTTGTATCAAAGTTCTTATTGTTCTCAGTACACACATAATAATATTCATTTTGAAAAATGGATTCAAACAAGTGAATCCTTTTGGCTTTAAAAAGATAATCCTTAATCAATCCCTATAGATTAGTGCTACAAAATTATATAGAGCTGTACCCAATAACAAAAACCACTTTACTTGAAAACTTCCAACAAAAAAAATGGACAGCAGATATAACTAGAATAGAAAATAATGATATTATCAAGATGTTAACTTCCCACACTATCATAAACAAAAGGTTTGGAAGGAAACACCCATTAATACTAGAAAGTGTGACAATAATGAACATGTTAAATCAAATTTCATGAAAAACTGTTAAAAAAACAAAATACAAAACAGTACTGCTGTTTAGTCAATTAGTACTGATTGTTTCCTGTATAGAAACTACTAATTTCACCCATTATCAATACCATTCATTTGCTGTTTGATTTCTTAAAAAATTGCTGTGAATACAATGTTATTAAATATATAATAAAACTTACTTTCCAGAGATTTGAACAAACGAGTAAATTCATAATCAAATATCACTTCATTTGGGTGTTTATAGTTGAGATGTGGCTTCTTGGCAGCTTTTGTGTAACTTTCATGTTTGACAACTTGGGACAATTTGTCTATGAAAGTTTCCATTCCAATACGGTCTGCTATGATCTGACACAATGACGCTCTGGAAATATATGAAAAATCAATAATTGAACTTCATTTGGTTCAGGAACATTTCAGAGTCCTTTGTAAATGTTTCTGTAGCTGAACAAATTAATTTATGCAACCTAAAAATTATTGTATTTTCTGATGTAGATGTTTCTTGCTTTAAACTCTCAAGAATTTACTGATTTTTTTTTTTGTAATTTTTTTTTTTTATTTAATTTTATGTTTATTCTCCCCCTCTCAAATTTACAAATCAAAATTAGGTTTTGTTATTGAAGGTGGAGCATATTCAATACCAGGAAAATGAATACTTTAAATTCCTGCTATATTTTAAATTTTTCGTTTGTTTTTCTCGATATACTTTATGAACGTGTATTGATTTCACAACAAATGAAAACCAAGATAACAATGACAATCTCATTTTATAAACAATTTACTATTTTTCTATAAAATAATTATTTTTAAGAGGTAAACTGCTCAAGTAGTATCAAAGTACAATATTATTTAACATTGTTACTTCCGACAGCAAACTTTTTAAGTTTAAGTGGGTTTTTAACAACACATCAACTCCAACAGCAAACTATTTTTGCCAAGTAGGACAAGAAACAAATACAGTTGATTTAGTTTGTATGACTGGTAGGTGTTCATTTCTACACAAGTGAATTTCAGGTTACAAAGAATCTTTTCTGTACATACTGACATTAAATATAACTGAAAAATTTACTACAAAATTTCTCCCCTTTAAAATCATTTTTCTAAAAAGATCTTAAACCAATAGTCATTGTTAAATAAAAAGGTATATATTTTATTTCTGATGATTGACAATATCAAACAATGTTGCTGATTTTACAAAGATGACTATAACAAAAACAGTTCACTCACTTGTTAAAAGTTTCATTCTGGTCATCATTAAAAAGTACACTGATTCCCAAAAGAAATGCACACAATCCCTGCACCAGTTGCTCTTGTTCATCTCCTTCAGAGGTTGATATTTGTGCAATCAGCTAGAGACATCATTAAAGAAACTAACATTACTATTGATAGTGATAATACAGAAATATTTGCAGTACAAACTAAATTATACACATCACTGTAAGAATTCTATATAAAGAAAAAGTAAGTCAGGAATTGTGAATGTCAATTTTTTTTTTTTTTGTTAAAAAGGTAAGAAAGGAAGGACCTCCTTATTTGGAAAGTTAGAGTAACATGACGCTAACGCATTTCCTATGTACTTTTAATCTTGTGTAAATATTGAATTAGCTTGCAGTAAATTTATAAATATTTGATAGTGGCAATTCATCAACAACCCTAAATTGACTTTTCCAGTAATTATTATATAAATCTAAGCTCATTTTTATTGATATCCATAAAACAAATATGTATTTTTGCATCAAGGATACATAAGGCACATTAGCTGTATTACAGAGGAAATGTGTGACGGCAATGGAACAATCAGACAACCAACCACACAGCAACATCAATAATCCAATACGAGTTTGCAACTTTCCACCCTGAAAATGAAAATAAAAGTAATCAAATAACGCTAAGATGCATAGATTAAAAAAATTATATGTTTAAAATTTGATAATTTCTTGACTGGCTATATAAGTTTGTAGCCTAATGAGAGAGAAAAAATTTTACTCAACAAATATTTATTTTTCAACAATTTCCTTCTTTGTCAATGCACTTAACACAGTATTTCTCTATTAATCACATAGAACAAACATTATTCAGTGAAAATTTTGTATCAAAATCTACTTATGGATTTATTGATCTACACTCACATGTAATATATAGGGTTTTTGATGACTGCATAAGAACATCTGCGAGAGAGAAAATTTACAATCCCAGAGTGGATAGATCAATACAAGAGAGAAAGGAAAAAGAGCACTTGTGTAAGAAAATTTAATTCTAATGCGCAAAATTCCTTCAAGTCTAAGTTACATCTCACCTGCCAGCAGCTAGAAATAAAGAAAAGATGAACATGAAGATGTAGGTACCTGGGCAAGCATATTACAGCATTGTTGTAACAAAGACACCGGAGGGTTACCTAGACTTGTGGCTAGCTGTACACGCAACAGCTGTTCTCTTTGTGTGTTGTTTTCCAATATAGCATGAAGCAGAGCCACAGATGCAAACCAGTTTGAGAGAGAATCACCACTGAAAAGGCCACCGCACAATAACTGTCCAGCTGTGATAGTATTCACTAGAAAAAGAAAAGGTAAACAATGATTTGTCAATATAACCAGATTATCATCATTTTTTATTTTTCATTACAAAAATTAGCAAATCAGAGAAATAAAAAAAATGAAACAATTTATAATTGGCAGAGAAAGAAGTTATATGAAGTTTTTGTTTAATAATAAAATAATTATTTAAGAAAACAAACAGGTAGTAGGTTACAAAAAGATGAGACAAGAATTTAAGTATTAAGAAATTTTGATTTTAGGGAGATTGGAATTCACACCTGATGACATAGCTCTCATCTAATTGAGCAAGTAAATCTTGGTCACTCAAATGATTAATTGTCCAAATTATCACTATAAGAGAATTATTAAATATTCAGTTATTAATAACACCAAAACTGATCACAAAGCTTAGATTTTTCTTATTACTTCAAACATATTTTAGTGTTTGAGTAGATGCCCTGTTTTTTTAAACAGCATGAATTAACTTAGATTATAAATTATTGTTTTTAAAGAGATATTCATTGGAAAATTGTCAGTTGGATTAACAAAAATAGGTTTGTGAGAATTACCATTGCAAAGAATTTTATGTAATAAATTACCATTAAAAAAACAAAAATTAGTAGTGTAAGGAAGAGTTGGGACAAAGAAACACTGTTCTGTTAAATGGGTAGAACAATCTAAGGGTATGCACTTTAATTTCGGTACTATAGGGAGGCAATACTGCAATAACACAATAAACAAAGATAAAAAAAACAATAAGAAGAAAATAAATTTTGACTCAGGTTGGTGGCTGTGTAAAGGATTGCAACACAAGGGTGACACAAGTGATGAAGAGTGCCGAGTGTCATCAGGTGAAAACATCAACATAAGTATAAATTAGTACCCTGATTATTTCTCTCACCATCAGCAGTTGTAGGCAGAAGTGTTTGCACAATTTGAGATTGGCCAACTTCATTTTTAAAAAGAAATGACTGGAAGCAGTAAAGAACTGCACAGCGTAGGACGAAGGGCTGCTTCTCATTGACCATAGACATCAGTAACACCACAATAGCAGGTCTGCAAAACAAAATGGATTCAACAGTTAAAGGACTCAAAAAGAAATATCCTCTAATGATCAAAGAAGAGTTACACAGATCTTCTGTTTGAATTTCTGGGATAAGGAATCACTATGCTTTAATCTTTCCCACTAAGTGACTGTTCTACAGAACAAGTACTGATTAAGTGTATCTATTTACTATCTATCAAAAGTTTAATCACTAGGTCATATACTATGGTTCAGTGGAAAAAAAAAAAAAAATATTAGAGGAACAAATTAATTAGGAAGAATTGATATGAGATATTACTTAAGAGAGAAAAAACAAATTACTCCTGGAAAAAGAATAAAGGAAATCTCCAGATTTATTCATGAATAATATATACATTTCCAGATTTTTAAACTTAAAAGTTAGGGGTTCATATTATAACTGAAAGTTATATCCATGTTCTAAACTAATGTATGATAAAGAGTTTAAATCACTAACCAAACATTTCATTTGTTAAAAAAAAAAAAAAAAAAAAATAATAAAAAAAAAATACATAAAAATATTAAAGACATTTTAGTCTTCTTGATTGTTGTCTATATTAAAGGTAAACATCATAACAATTTTGTCTATATTTTCAGTATAGTAGATGTCTTTGTCATTGATGTCATCTTGTTCTTCCTCAAAAATGGATGTCATCTCCACTGTTGTCCAGTGTGTTTACAATGTAGTTTTTGAATGACTTTGCCACAGTGGTTTCAGGGATGCTCTGCTAGGCTGCTTCCAATATCCAAATATACAGTGTGTATTAAAAATATTTTTATGAACTTTGGAGTGGGTTCCTCACACCAAAACAAGGACAAAAGTCCATATAAACATATGGCTGCAAATCCTTTGTTTTTGAGTTATTAAGTTCAAAATTTACGATACAGGCTGTTAAATGTACAATCCAAAAATACTTTTTACAAACTTTGGGGGTGGGTTCCTGTCACCAAAACAAGGTAAAATGTCCATATAATCATATGACCAAAAGGCCATCATTGTACCTCAACACAGCAACTCATAACAAATGTTCAAAATGTCCTCTGCTTGCACACATACACACATGCACCTGTTGGATCACTGACTGGTGGACTTTTTCAAATACTCCCACATGGTGTCAAATGATTTTGCAGCCTCTCCCCCCCCCCATGACATGTTGATGAAGTGGCTTATTAATGTCTGCTTCATCAACCAATTGTTTTAGGTGGCCCCATAGATAAAAATCAAAAGGATTGAGGTCATGGGGGGGGATGTGCAGGCCATGGAACCAGTCCTCTCCTACCTATCAATCTTTCATGGTAGATGTCAACCAGTGCATCGCAAACAATGTGACTAAAATGTGCTGAAGCTCCATCATGCATGAACCACATGTGTCTTCATATTAGCAGTACATCCTCTAGCAGGTCTGGAAGTGTGTTCAAAATAAAATCTCTGTAGACAGCTCCTGTAAGATGTGCTAGGGGAACATATGGAACTACCAGACAGCCTACACATTAATTGTAAACCAATGCTGGTGTCTAGCCTGTATTGTACCAGGGGGATTCCAATCTGCCCACAATTTTTGGTTGTGTAAATTTCTTATTCCATCTCTTCCAAATGTTGCCTCATCTGTAAACAAAACTGAAGAAACAAACAATGGATTGGCAGTTTGTACAATAAGCCATCAGCGAAGTTCATTCATGGTGAGTGATCAGGGAGTGAAAGACCCTGCACATGTTGCAAATGATATGGATACAGGAGCTGCTCTTGAAGTACTCTCCATGCACTATTATGAGATGTATAACATGCTAGGGCCACTTGACATGTGCTGATACCTGGATTGTCTCTGAGAGCCTGTAGAATGTGTTCTTCATGGTCAGGTGTACAAGTGGAATCCACCCCCAAAGTTTGGAAAAGTATTTTTACTACACCCTGTATATACCAGAAACTTCTGATCAGTGAATGTGGCCTGTCAGAATGAGTAAGCTCCTCTGTTAGCTATTGTGCGACACTGAGGCTATGAGGAGGTTAAATGTTGATTCTGAGCAGAAAAAGGTTAAGCCCAAAATGGAATGTAAGCTGAGAGAGAGAGGAAACATTTTTCTTACTGAAAATGGGACCATCTGGATTTCTTCTTTCCTAAAGTTTATTTTTATCTATTGAGAGTCTGTATGCAGATGAAAACAGCTTTCACATCAAGTGCCTCTGGAATCCACATCAACTGCTACCAGATTTCCTGATTCTAAAAAACTTTGAACACTGAATTATTAGGTGATGCACAGTGTCACTATAGATTGATACAGGAAGGGTTAATTTTGTTGCACCAAGAACTATATAAACCAAGTAAAGATTAACCCAATATATCTTTCGTGTTTATTTTTCATTGTAAAAATATTTCTTCCTTAATGTAACACCCACCACAGTTTGAACCAGTGCTGTGATTACTACAACATTTGATCTTCTACTGCTCTGAGATCACGAACACAATGTGGGCAAAGTTGGTGTGGATCAAACTGGCCAGTGACCAACAACCAGCTTGGACCAGCACAGAGTTAAGACAATGTTTTAACTACAGGGCTAAGACCCTGAGGAATGGACCAGTAAATGTGGTTATACCACCAGATATCGGCAGCAGTAAAAGTAAATTGATGTTACTTGTTGTAAACAAGCAACTTGAATGGCATGTTGAGGTCTCCTTAAACATGATTTTGCTCTAAAAAAAATATATGGTGGCAGCTTTTTTCTCTCACCAGTGAAAGCTAACATCAGTGTAATTTGTTTTTTCTCATTATTAGTGGATTTGATGTTGACTGACTTCTATTGCCTGTGTGTAGGAGAAAACAAAGCTCAATGAGGTTTAATCTGTGACAATTTGTATCCAATGACATTCCATCATCTCATCACTAAATGCCAAAAGTTCAGTAAGTTGCCTTTGAAATCTGCAAGTAATTTTTGTGCTATGAGAGTCCAGTTAAATGACCAATATGAAGATCCTTGATTTCTTTTAAACATTGTTATAAAGCTTCAGTAACTCACCTAGGTGGATTGGATGGTGCCATCACAGAGGCAAAAAATTCCTGATTAGACAAATTTCCACGAATGATTTCAGATACAGTGTTGATTGTCTATTAAAAAGAGTAAGATATTTAATCAGTGGTTAAAAAAAAAAAAAAAAAAAATTTTTAGCAATTTATATTAATTTCTATTTCAGCAACTTTTAATTTTGTTGTCTCAGTGAAGCAGTTAATGTGCTGGAAGAAACTTGTGGATTAAAAAAAAAAAATGAAATGGTTGTTTCTAATTTTCATAATAAAAATATGGTAGAGCACAATGGTAGAATATATAGTTCCACCTAAAGAAAAAATTACAAAACCAGTTGTTTTAAGTAGCAATAGCAACACACTTTACAGTAGATAAATATAAATAAGTCATAATGTCAGCAAAACAAAAGCTCAAGATCACAAGCATAAAATTTTAAACTAAAAATGAATTTCTAACACAGCTGCTTAGTCATTCATTAAAATGCTGCTTCAATGACCTATTTGTATTCAAGGAATTAAAAAGAAATATTTGAATATTACTAAATACTTCAATCTAATCATTATCAATAAGTAATAAAATGAAATAAAAAGCAAGATAAAATTAATGGTTCTAAAAACCAAAATAAAAGCCTAAAGTTGCTTCTTGTTCTTTGCAGCTGATTTTATTAATGACAAATAGGAGAGAAATGACGATTAAAATAAATTTTTTTACCTCAGTCAATACATCTGCAGGTACTCCACTTGCCATCAATATAGTGCATAACCGTTTCAACAAATCTGAAATAATTCAGAATCTCATCATAAAAAAGCATAAAAGATCTCTTCAATTGCTTTCTATGAGAGGCTCGAGTGTCATATACAGAATTACATTTCTCAAATCTATTGCATGATGTTTTATTACTAATGTTTTATTGTAGGATTAGTGATCTTTTTATCAGCCAAATAAATTGGTTTCTTATAATAAAATCAGTTACAAATAGTTTACAATACACAATTAAAAGTCATTATGAAAAATGAGGTGCATTTGTATAAATAAACTTGTAAAAATTTAAGGCAAATTGCAACAGAAACACCACTTGATATCATAGCAGAAAAAAAAATTTCCATTCAGTAAAGGCAATAGAAAATTGATCTTGAAAGTAATTATTCATTTAAAAAAAAAAAAAAAAAAATATCGTAAAGATATTTAAAAAAAAAAATTAAATTAAGTTTCCTATTTAAATTTTTCTTCTTTAAATACTGCAATCAAAGATAACTCCTGCCTCTAAGAAATAAAAATGAAAAAGTGATTATAAAGTTCCTAGGCACATTACATTTATCAACCAAAATGATATAGTTGATGACAAAAGATCAGTTCAGAATGAGTTCAGTGCATGTTTCTTTCTTAAAGGTTTTTTGTCAATAGAGGAATGTTGTTACCAGAGTCAAAGCTGGATAAAACTAAAGTAAAATTCTTCAATAGTGATGAATTCAGAAGGAAAAGTCTATGCCTACATTTTTGAATATCTTTAGTTGTGTTACACTTTCTATCAGGACATTTTTTTTGCATAAACCAGTAATATTTGTATCATTATATTTAATAAAAGGTTAATATTCACAGATTAAAGGCAGATATATTAATTCCCACTTCAGTATAAACCAATATTTTCATAATGTTACAAATAACTTCACACCATGGAGGAAAGAAAAAAAAAAAAAAAAAAAAGATACATCACCTCCATTATTTTTAAAATTGATTTTGTTAATAAATAAAAATAAGTTAAACTTACTGCAAGAATTCATCACCTTTTGGCAGGCTGCTGTCTGATTGAGTGGGTTGTTGGGAGATACCAGAGTCCGGACTAACTACAGAAGTGAAAAATACATATTTACATTTTCAATGAGTAAAAAAAATAGAAAACAATTTTTTTAAAAAAATCAGCTTTACAGCAAATGTAGTAGTATTAGTAGTGACAGTCACTTTGAAAGAATATTTCGTCATTTCAGAATTTGTATATAAACTAATGAAAAATTGGCAAACAGTAAACTGCTGCATAGTTGTAGAAGTTACTTTCACTTAAAAATGATGGACTCTTGATTACAATGGTTTTAAAAATTAGTAAGAGAAGTTGTTCGTGATTTAAGACTACAAAACAATTGTGCAGTCAACATAAATATTGCAAGTTAAAAATCTACAATATTTTTTTTTCAATTATTCCTCTTGTATTCTTTTTCCCTTATTTGATAACTGGACCAAGTCGCAAAAAAGCTTCAGGTGAAACACACATACAAATATTGTTTAAACACTTGATAAAGGTTACACACTAAATATACTCACAAATGGAACCATTACAGACTATAAATTCATTCATTAGAGAGATCTATCACAAATTCAAAACAACACACTGTGGTGGATGTAGAAAAGAACATAAAAATATATATTCTGTCTTATGAAATTCACTTATGAGGGGATTAATTGAATTAGGAACTTATATGCAGATATTTTTAGTACGCTAAATAGAAGTATACAAATAACGAAAAGAAAATTTTCCTTTAAATTTTATAAAAAGAAAATAAATTCTATTTATTTCATGTTAAATGGGTTCAAGTAAATAAGCTTATCAAAAGAATAATCTCTTCCTTCTCAATTTTGTATAGAAGAATGTTTTTAGCAGTGAAAATAAATTAGTGTTATATATGATGTTAAACAAAAGCAAAACTTAACCATAAAAGGCTATAATTAAACTCAACTTTTCAGAATAATTTTTTTCATAAAATACCTATAAATTTATCCAGAGTTAATTCAGTATATTGTTGAGGTATAAATTTGGAAAAGTCAAATTTTATCTGGAATAATTTATTTACAACTGCATGTAGTATTATTAAAATAACACTTCAAAAGTAGGACATGTAAGCAATGCTTACAGAGCATTAATACTGTAGCAAGGATCAAACACATTGGCTGCCAGACTTTTATAACAGAAAATTAATTGGTCATAAAAATACTTGTTAAATGAGGTATTTAATTATTTAATAAGGTTAACTTAGTTGGATAAAAGGCCACAGTATTGGGATACAGAATGAGGACTGAACACATTAAACTAGATTAACTAGCTATTCATCATGGTGTGATGAATAGCTAGTTAATACTTTTTTTATATACAATATCTGATTGATTTTTTAAATAAAGCAGTTTAAAAAAAAAAAAATCAATCAAAATCAAATATTGCATAAAAAAAAACAAAAAAAAAAAACATAATTTTAACATGTTTCTCATTAACTGTACATCAAATATTAAGTGATATGTCTTAATATTTTTCATTGCACCAAAAACTATTTTTGATTTAAACCAATATGAAATAGGAAGGAAGGAAGGAATGAGAATCACAAACATCTTTGTCTTATTTTGTTCCTCTATTGTCTGTCACTTTTCTAAAGATTAAATTCATAATTAAAAGTTGCAAAAGTCATGAAAATAATAACCTGAACTGAATTCATATAATTACTAAAATCAAAATTGAAAAATAAAAATATAAAATGTAAACCACAGAAAATAGTAAACATGCAAATATAAACAAGGGATTTCAATTTAAAATCTTAGAAGTACTGTAGTGTAACAAAAAGAAACAAAACTAATAACGGTTCATGTGACAATAGTGAAAAATTAAAAACAAAAATTATCAACGCTTAAGAACAGCAGTGTTGTGACAAACATGGTTGGAGCATTGAAGCACAGGGAAGAATGACAGTCTGTAAAATAAAGGTCAAGTCAATTTTTAAATTGTGAGAAAGAAAAATAAACAAAAAACACAGAAGGCAAAATGAAGCAAGTCAGTTACATTAGGGAAATGAATGACAGAGCAATACAACATCAAAGTAGAAATATCACAATAACAACAGCAAACAGTACAATGGCCAACACTGGAAAGCATTACTCCACTATTTTTTTTTCAAAATTATAACAGCATAATTATATTATTCAGATTATATCTTCATTTGAAAGGAAGTTTTAAATTCATATTTTTAAGTAACAATTATTTAACTTTAGCAAAGTATAAAGCTCAAGGTAGTACATTATTTAAAGTAATATTGTATTCCTCTTTCTAGTAAGCTAGGTTGGTAGCATGTTTCACCTAAAAATTATAAAATTTGCCACCAAAAAACTGGAATTATCGCAGGGACACTAAGTTTGAATGCTAAATATTCAAATATTTAGTGAATAAATTATTTTGAAGCAATTATGTAAACATATGTCAAATATGAGCTATTCTATAAAATTTTAACTTCTTAATGGCAACCCATGAATTTAAGACATCAAATTAGATATTGTTAATGTAAAATATCTACTGGAGATTAGCTAATTAACTGATTTGTCTTATGCAATATTTATTTTGCATTTGTTTAATCATTCAATTTTGAACTGTTTATTCAAATCAAATGGAAATGTAATTATTTATATTTGATTAAAAGAAAAACAAACAATAAAATGATGAAGTGAAATTTGTCTATGTTCAAATGAAGAGTTTGGAGAAAATGGGTAGTGACCAAAAGAGAAAAAAAATATAACAAAAATATCAAGTCGAAATTCTAAAAATAGGGAAGAAGTATAAAGAAATGAGGTGATATTTAGATAATGTAAGGGCAGATAACTGCGATTTTCTATTGAGAAATTGTTTTATAGAATTTCATGCTGCAGTTACAAAATAACAAAGGAAGGGCTGATGATTTTTCTTTTCTTAATCAACACACTGTGTATAAAAATATGAAATTTTGGAGAGATGGTTAAATAAAAAGTACACCATTAAAACAAAACAGAAATTTAAAAAAAAATTAAATTAAGACAAAAAACAATTTTTTTTTTTAACTATACACAAACATAGGCTGTTATTTTATACCTTAACATAAGCACCATCTGTTATGGTACATATGGGACTGTTTTGAACTACAGACTTAGTGAATTAAGGAATTTACTCATGTTGGCTTTTCACCACAAACAGGCAATAAAACTTATGATATTCACTACATTTGATTTGAAGTAAGACTCAAATTGAAAAGTGAACAGAAGAAAAATAATGCAAATTAGGAGGAATGTAATGCAAATGATTATAGGGCAGAATGAAGGAAAAGCAATGGTTGAAGAAGAAGCAAGATAAATGCAGCTTTTCTTTTCCAGAATTCACAAAAGCATTTTTCTGAAGTGATTCATAAACAGCAAAAATTGAAAGACATTCAAATTGAATCATTCTGTAGTTTTATACTTATTTAATGTGGTTAAATTTTATTTCAATTTTTAAAAATTCTGTTTTTATTATTTTGCGTTTTTTTTATTCATGAATTATTTGTTCAGTATATATTTGAGGTTCTGCAAAGATGACAAAAATAATCTGAAAATATTAATATAACTTATAAACTTTTGTAGGAAAAAGTATTTTCTTTTAATAACAACAGTTATGGAAAATTGTATACACAACTGATCCTTCTGTGAGGTGATGCTTTGTGAAAAGAAAACTATCTGAAAACAGAGGAATGAAAAGAAGATTAAGTAGCTGGCTATTAAAGAGAGATGGAATGGAAGGAAAAGTAAGAAAAAAAGATTAATTTTTAAAAAATGGACATTAATTTATAAACAGGCTTCAATTCTTAATGAAGAAGAAGAATGAAACAGTAAAATAATAGAAAAGTAATTTCCAACAAAAAGCAAACAAAAGGATATAGCTATATTTTCAAGAAATGTAGAGAAAATCAATGCTTAAGAATTTTTAAGATGATAAGAGTTCTTTTGAAAAATGAAAAATAATACAAAGAAAAAAACTTATAGTATGGAATAATGCTTACCATCTGATAAATGATTAGTAATAAACAATTTCAAGACAAAAGAGGATTAAATGAATACTTTAATAAAACATCAACATGAAACTAAATATTCAAAATAGAGTAAAATTAAAATTATAAGATTAATTTTCTTTCAGAATCAATAGTTTTTTTTTAATAACAATTTTGAATATTATTCTAAATAATCTGGATAAGTGTTACATGAAGACAAATAAAAAGAATTAGGAAGATTAAAAACTTAAACAAATAAAAAAAAATACTTTATGATAAACTTTTAGTCTATTTAAAAATTCATATATATTTTTAGGTGCTTTATCTTTAGAAAAAGTAAGAAAAAAATCATATCTAACAATGGTTTACAAAGTTTTTAAAGCAAATTCAGCAATATATTTTCATGCGAATACCAACTGTATAACACTTGTGAAGCGCCAATTGCTATCATAACCAGCAGCATAAAAAAAAAAATTGTTTTTTCAAAATTTATCAACTGACTCCTTACCTCTCTCTCCTTTGTTTAAAAAGACAATCATGGATGATTTATTTATTAGCTGCTATTGTTGAACAAGCAATTGGAAATTTTATGTATAAATAAGAATCAGATCAATTATTATTAATGTAATTTTTGAGCACAGCAACATCAGTTGCATAATGTCAAGCACCATTTTCTAAAATACTAATCATTATATTTATTTTGTTTCTTCTCTTAGGAGACTAGTATGTAATAAACCTAAAAGTGAGAATTGTTAGTGAAAGGACAAAGTTAATAAAAAGGGGGAAATATTAACCAAACAATATGGTAGTAAAAACCAATACCAAATCCATTCATTCACCTGGCACAATTAGTTAACTGCTCAAATAAAAGTATTATGAAAGAAAAGCAAGCAAGCACACATGCACAAAGACAGTGTGCAGTGCCAACTATTGATTTGTGCAGATAACTAAGAGTATCAGGCCCAATGTTACCAAAATACCCTATGTATGCATGTAGTGTGCACCACTTGTCAGAATTTGGTGGGAGGGAGCTTGAAGAAAGT